CATCTGGTCTCACATGCCACGATATCTATAAAGTGTATTTTGTAGTATAGAAAGTAACGTAAAGGATTATGAAAAAAACTACTTACGATCGTGTCAATTTCGGAATGATGAAAACCAACATCAACACAACTTTGATTTTTCCCTTGACAGAAAAAAAAGAAAAGGAAAGACATATAATTAAATGGAAAATACCCAAAGAAAAACTATAGTGGCAGAGTACCAAAGTAAAATGTGAAAGAAGTACTGGTGAAGTTCTGAGCTGTAGAAAGTTCTCTCCGGCGAACTAACGAGGTAAGAGTAAGGACTAATTCAAAGGCGCATTAAAAAAACAAAGAAAATGAAATGGCAATAGCAAAGGCAACAAGTATAAGATACAGCCATTAAGAAGACAACAGAAAATATTAAGGGAAACTCATTTGGCGAGCGAAAGTTAAGAAAATCAGATAAAAGACGAATAAATAAACATATATGATGAAAGAGAAAACCAAGAATACAGATTTAATTTTGCAATAGATCGAAACGGAAAATTCAGCTAAGAAAATTTAGTATAACATGACGAATTGAACAACAGCAATGATAATGACAACGATGGAACCTGTAAATGATTTCAGGGCAGAATAAGTATCTGAACTACAAGAAAGAGTTTAAAGTAAATGAGGCATGCTAGAGGATCTTAAATGAATGAAAACATTACATTGCAAGAGCAAATTAAGGGGTTTATACACTGAAATGTGAAAGCTATCGAAGAATTAAGTTGCTTGAACTTATTTAATTCCTAAACTGCCAGCAGCTAAGAATACCAATTCAGCTGCACAAACTTTAATTTGTTTTAGCCCAGACAATTACAATCAATGCACTTTTCCGAGAAAAAGGATATAACAAAAGAGGCTTTGAAAGAATGCATAAGTAGTGGAAATTAACCGTTCACGTGTAAAAAATAAATATTTAAAAAACATATATTATTCATTATTATCATTTTTAAATAATTTCCTAGTGAGCGGTATGATAATTACAATAGCGACCATAAAAATACCAAAGATAATGGGATTAACAATTAGAATGAGGATGAAAGGGAAAATTATTTCGGGGACGATACTAAAAAAATAACTATATTGCTTTTAAACGATCGCAATTGTTATATATTGTTATACTAATAAGAATATGAATATGAATTGAAGTCACAGCTGTCTTGAATGACGATATTGATGGCACTTTATCATTATTGTTGCTATAATCGCATTATATCTATCGCTGCTGTCTTAAAGGGTTATTGTTCTCAACGATGTAAGCAGTTCCAAGTGCACGGCCGTGAGAGTCCTTTACAACTTGCAAACTACGGCGTCCAAAGTTCTGACACTCAACCAACCCCGCTTGCCTTGGATGAACCTCCCCGGCGCCGCTGGTCTCTTTAAGGGCAGGAAAGGGGGGCGTAAAAGGCTGTCGAGTCTGCCTATTTATTACCTTACTGAAATTTCTCGCTGTCAATGGATTGTTTCGCATTGTTAACTTGTTTTGTGATCATTTCATGTATTATCATTTTCACAGGAACTCTTTCCTGAAATTAGCCATTCTCTTAAGCTTATTTGCACTCGAACTTAAACATTTGCACTCAGATCTTCAACACAAATCGCGACCTGCCAGCAGAATGTTTGGCTATGAGAGAGAGGGCGAGAGAAAGAGCGGAAGAGAGAGAGAGAAGAGAGAGAGGAGAGAGAGAGAGAGAGAGAGAGAGAGAGAGAGAGAGAGAGAGAGAGAGAAGAGAGAGAGAGAGAGAGAGAGAGAGAGAGAGAGCTGAGAGAGATCTGAGAGAGATCTGCAGTCTGTATCAGCTCTATTTATCCGATTCATTATTCCTTGGAGTTGTGCTTCATTAAACAATAATATCAATATTAAAGAACGCATATGATCAAGTAGACATATTTTTCTTCTGCAAACCATCTCAAACCCCTTTTCAGAATTCCCTTGTGAGTGGGAAACCATCGTTCCCAACCGGTAGAATGAAGAATATCCTGCCATATAATAAGACATCTAGTAGAGTAATATGAGATTGTAATAAAATGCAATTAAGTAACTTTATTCCAACACGATACAATAAGAAACCTATGTGTTAAATGTAAATCTTAGCATCATATATATATATATATATATATATAATATATATATATATATATATATATATATATATATATATATTAGTGTGTGTGTGTGTGTGTGTGTGTGTGTGTGTGTGTGTGTGTGTGTGTGTGTGTGTGTGTGTTGTATTGTATGTGTAAATGTATCTCTCTCTCTCTCTCTCTCTCTCTCTCTCTCTCTCTCTCTCTCTCTCTCTCTCTCTCTCTCTCTCTCTCTCTCTCTCTCTCTCTCTCTCTCTCTCGTTTTCTTCAAAATGGCTTCATAGGATTTAAAATAACTGCATCATTTAGAGCATAATTTACTGAGAACATGAGACGTCATTTGTTAAAACTGATCCGCCCACTCAAGAGCTCTTCAAATTTGAAGG